AAAAAAAAAAAATTAAAAAGAAGAGGCCCCTCTGGGTTTGCGGCCTTCAGTCAGGCGTGTGCCAGCGCTTTCACCGGTACTCCCTTTCTCTTGCTTCTTTGTGGGTCCCTATGACTGTCCCCACTTCAGAGCCTCAGCCACCGAGGCCAGGAGCAGGCAGAGTGGCAGGTGGCTGGCTTGGCCACCACACCTACCTGCGCGTGAATGGTGCTGTGGTCAGCAAAGGACTCTCCACAGCCAACATAGGGGCAGGCAACCTGGGAGGAAGAGGCAAGTGTGGATTGGGACCAGCCAGGGGGAGGGTGTCAAGGCAGTAAGCCCCTCACTGCACCCTAAGAGGCAGGGTGGCCCACCTCTACCCAGCCGGCCCCACGAGCAACTGCGGTGCTGCTGCCCGAAGGAGCCCAGTCTGTCCAGCTGCAGCTCACCTGGGCGGGGCCGCTCTTAGTGAAGGGCAGAAGCTCAGGCAGGGTCATAACTGGAGCTGGGCTGCTTGGGGCCCAGACTCTGTCCTTCCACCAGAACCCCACTTCCTGCCAGGCACGGTGGCACAGAACTGTAATCTTAACTACTTGGGAGGCTGAGGCAGGAGCATCACTAGTTCAAGATTGACCTGGGCAATTTAGTGAGACCCTGTCTCAAAAATAAACAGGGCTGGGGGTGTAGCTCAGTGATGGAGCACCCCTGGGCTTAATCCCCAGTAGCAAAACCCAAAATATGGCAAGGAGGTGGCTGGGGGCTGATGATGATCCCATGTCCCAAGGCGGGGCCTCGTGTCCTTGAGGAGCCTGCCTTCAGCCCTGCACTTGCCTCTCCAAGATCTGCCAATTTCCCAGGCCCAGCTTGGACATCTCCACTGCGGAGCTGGCAATCAATGGCCGAGGTAACTGCCCCTCCCTGGGAGGGCCTGGTGTCACTGGCATCTGAGGTCAGCAATGTACAGACTAGAGAAATGTTCTAGGAAATGACCTTTCAGCTGAGACCATAAAGTCATGGCCAAGGGCTGGGGATAGAGCTCAGTTGGTAGAGTGCTTGCCTCGCATGCACAAGGCCCTGGTTCAACACCCAGCACCACACACACAAAGTCATGGCCAAAAGGCCCCATTTCCCACATAAGGTTCCCTCATCTGTCTGTCTGGAGGACCTTGGACTCTCTTAAGGCAGGACCACGTCTCACCCTTCTTGCTGTCCCCTGGGTGTCCAGATGGTGTCCTGCAGTCCTAGTCATACTAAGTGAAAGGCCTCAACAGAAGAGGCCAGAGCGGCCCTGGAACCCTGAGTGTCGGCAAAGCCTGTGTCCTCACCCCCAGAGCTCACTGTCCTCTTTGCTTCTACTCATGGATTTTAAGAAGTTGTAGGTAATTTTTTTACTATGATTATAAAATCTATGATTATAAAATATAATATATACTTAGAGAAAGTTTGCAAAATGCTACAAAGCTATGAAGAAAAAAAATGAAAATCACTTGCAATCCCACCACCCAGAGGAACTGCTGCTGGGGCCCAGCCATGAGCCATGTGTGACCTGAGCGATATGGGGCCATTTGGCAGGGAAGGCTGGTCTTGGGAACTCCCAGGTAGAATCCACTGGTTTGAGAACAAGGATTCATGGGCACCCTCTCCCAGCTCACTGCTCAAGTTCAAGCTCAGCCCCGGATGTGGGAGATGGGAGATAGAGCCAAAGGGCCTCCCAGAGATGGGTGTGGCTTCCAAACGCCATCTACCTGCTTAGGCAAGACCCCTGCCACAGGGAGAAACAAGCACAGAAACAAGACTCCTCTGCCTGAAACCTCATGCAGGCCTTTGAGGGACTTTCCTTCAATAAAGAAGGGGCCTTTTTCAGTTGTTCAGTTCCAAACTGACCTACCAGGCGCTCTGTTTTTTTTGGAACCAGGGGCACTCCATCACTGAGCCACATCCCCAGCCCTGTTTTGTATTTTGAATTTAGAGACAGGTCTCACTGAGTTGCTTAGCGCCTTGCTGTTGATGAGGCTGGCTTGCAACACACCACCCTCCTGTCTCAGCCTAACAGTGGGACTACAGGCATGCACCACTGTGCTCAGCATTCACTTTTCAAATCTATCTTTGGCTTTGTCTTATTTCTTACTGATTATTCCAGACTTTTTATTTTCCCAGAAGGCTCACACCTCCTGAGCAGGAGCCTGCTCTGTCAGGGTTCTGGCCACCCCGTCACAAACTGCTCTGTTTGGTGGACCCACTTTGTGTGGCAAGCAATGATTACAATACAATTCTGCCAGACTTTCCTGCATGCTGTCTGGGCTGTGCCCATGCCAAGCCTGTCATGGGCAGCTGTCTTGTCAAGTCCACCCTAAGCCCATTCTGGGCACAGCTGTGGGTGAGAACTCCCTACTTGCCAGCTGGGGAAGGGTAGGCAGTGCAGGCTTGGCCCAGGCACCTACCTCTGCGTACTCTTCAGGAGAGTTCTGCTGGGGTGGAGGTGGGACCTTCAGCCCCGCGTCTTCCCAATCTGCTCTTTTCTCTTGTAACTCTTAATGGCTGCTAGAGCAGCCTGCCCAGGGACTTGCTGACCCTGGAGCCCAAGCTTCTGGCAGTGCCCAGCAGGGACAAGCACTGTCAGCCCAAAATCTAGACTGAACCCACACCCCAAGTGCCGTAAGGACCCCTTACCTGGAGACAGGCCCACAGGTTGGGTCCAGCAACACCACAGGACTGGCAGCTTCCCTGGGGGAGTGGAGGTGAGAGAAGAGGAAGTGAGAGCCACACTGGGAGCAGAGCCAGGCTTGCCCTATCATCACCACGAGCCTGTGCTGCAGATGCCACCAAGCTCCCTCTTCATGGATGAAAAATAGGGGCTGAGAGGCTCATGCCCCTGTAAGAGCAAGGTTAGACGGTGAAGCCAAGGAGCTTGAGCCCCAGAGCAGGAGGTAGGTCATCCAAGCTACTACCAAGAAAGCCTGGTCCCCTGACAAGGCCAGGTATGCTCCAGGCCTCCACAGGAGGCTGCATTCAGGACCCTCAGTGGGTTCAGGTGAAGAAAACGAGCTAGACCTGCAAGGCCTGCTCCCTCTCACTGAAGACGCTGCAGTGGCAACACGTGATCAGTCTGCCCAGCAGACCCAGAGCAGCGGCCCACCTTTGCGAATCTGTGACCTCTCCTGAGGTTCTGATTTCACAATTCACCCCTAAACTCCAGGTCTGTTTTTTCATCTCCATCATTTGTCTGCTTGCTGTGACAATTGCTTTCGTACACATGTGCTACATAAGATCTGAAGTAGAGCAGATGATACGCACATGTTGTCACCTTTAGAAGTCCATCCTCTGTTCATTCTTCTTATACAAACATGTAAGCACAGCCCTCGGGGGTGATTTTTAGTGAAAGTTAAGATCACACAAAACACCTCTCTCAGGAGATGACCCTATCCCCTGCTGTGGTTTGTACGTGGAGACCACACCTCATTCTTTGCAGTTTTGACTCTGGACACATCAGGCCCTCCTTGCCCATTCTCTTGCTGATGAACATCAGGTGGCTGCCAGTGTCCTCCTCCATGGAAGGGTCCGATAAATGCTGCAGTGTCCTTAGATACACATCCACTGGATGAGCCCCAAGAACCGGAACTGCTCGGCCTCCCCGCAGCGAACGGTGTGCTTGACTCTGTCCACTCCCAGCAGCCCATCTGTCTGTGCTCATCTGAAATCCGTGTCATGCTGCTCTCCTCTCCACCCCCAGCCACCGGCAGCTGAGGTCTTCTGAGCACTTCTTGGCAGCACCTCCTGCACTGTGCCTGCTCAGAGCCTCGCCCCTGAGTATTTTAAAACAGTGCTGGGTTTACTCCATAACTTTCCGGATGGTCAGAGAGGTGCCGAAGACGAGCCCAGTCTTCCGCTCGGGGCCCCAGGACACTAGCACACTTCTGGAAGGCCCAGCCCAGACCGTCCCAGGCCCCACCTCCCTCGCCTTCTGCCCTGACACCTGCCTCCTGGGAAACCCCTTCTTGGTTGGCCTGCTCCTTCCTTGGTGCGATTTGGGAAGAAACCAGGTATCAGAGGGTGCGGAAATGTGCACTGGAGCCTCACTCTGCCCTTGTCCACGCCGTGAAGGCGGCAGACTCACTTCGAAAGTAGCTCCAGATGCTGGAGAACTTCTCTCACCAGGGTCCACGACCCTGCTCAAGCCAAAGGCCACTGGTGCGGTGAGGTAGGGCTGGAAAAAGCCCAGCATGTGCCCAGAAATCCACCCTGCACAGCTCTGCCACGCACAGTGGCACTCAGGGGGTCAGTCACTGTGTCCACAATGAAGTGTGGCCAAGCTTCCAGACAGAGAAGGACAGGGCCTCTCTATAACCTGAGGCTGTTCTGTGACTGAAGCACTTTACACACAAAACAGGGGGCAGTCTGCCCTCTCTTATGCAAGAAAGGGCAGAAAGGAGAGGGAGAGCATCTGCTTGTATTTGCACGAAAAACTGAAAAGGTGCAATAAACACCAAGGCAGGTGGTTACCTAGGGGGTTGGAGGAGGGGGCTTCTGACATTTACCTTCTCCTGCTGTTTCATTCTTGGCCATGTGACAGCATGATTTTTCAAAATATATTAATTCACCAACAAAAAGACAATTACAATGCATCATCCCATTCAGAGAAGTGGCGCCTCGACTTCCACTTGAGCCCAGGTAGTGAGAATGGAGGGCTGGGAGTGGCTCTCCCAGGCCCTGGGCTCCTCCCACACAGCAGGAGCAAACTAAAACTGGTCCTGGCAGACTCAGCAGCACTTGCTGGGCCCCAACAGCTAATGGCCCATCTAGACTGTAATTAATGGCCTCGGGATCCAGCCCTGGAAGGGGACTCCCTACAGATGCCAGCCTCCCCATCTGCACAGAGGCTAAGCGCCCAAGGCAGCCAGTGCTGCCTGTTTCAGACACGGTGCACCAGGCACAGCAACCCTGGGCATGGGCCCTGGTCATAAGGTCTGCCCCTTTACCTTAGATTTGAGCAGCAAGTCCTCTTTGGTCACTTCCCCTATGGAGTCCAGATGAGGGCAGAAGTCCCTGGGGTCACCCATTCTCTCCTGGGCTCACCTGCAAGAAGACACAGGCAGTCCTGGGTCAATGGCAGCCTAGAGGTGAAGCACTCGACTTTGGCTTTGAGTCTGGCTCTGCCACACACCAGCTGGTGACCCAGGGAAGCACTTAGCCTGAGCCTTACTTCTTGTCTGAGAAGATGGAGCTGCCTCAGACGGCTGCCAGGAGGACTCAGGGAGACCACAGAGTCTAATACAGGCCCCCCACAGAGCGCCTGCCCAGAGCCATGCGGGAGGCCCAGAATCCCTGGCAGAAGGCACGACTATCCTGCCTGTGCTCAGGAGCTGCACATGGAAGATGGAAGCTGTGGCGGCTTTCCTCGGTAGGAAGCCAAACCCAAGTCCAGGAGGCCACTGCACCAAGAGGGCCGGCGGGGGAAAGGCTGCATCTCCAAAGGGCAAGGAGCAGACGCTGGCCTGGGCCTGGGTGGTCTCAAGAGCCCGTGGGAGGCCTAGGGCCTGCAGGCCACCTGCCTCACTTCCAGGGAGAAGCTCACCTACAGCTGCATTGTTAGCAGGACACCGGGGAGACGGGTGACTGGCACCACCTCTGGAGAACGTCCAGAGAACAGGAGGACAATGTCCTGAGAACAGGAGGAGAAGCAGAGCGCCACCTAGGAAACCAGGTAAAGAGTGCTTACAAACCGCTGGGGATGGTGCCAGGGCAGGTTCGAGCAGTGGGGGACAGCTGTGCTGCTTTGTTTAAGTGATGTAAGAAAGTCTCAAGGACAAGGTGAAATCAGTCACTAAGGCAGGGGTCAGTACCTCTCAACACTCTTGTCATTTATGTGCTTATGAATTTATGGATCTATCTATTTACTTAGTGGTACTGGGGACCGACCCAGGGCCTCACACACACCAGGAAGTGCTCTCCCACTGAGCTATACCCCAGTCCTTTTATTTTATTTTGAGACAGGGTTTTGCTAATTTGCCCAGGCTGGCCTTGAACTTGAGATCCTCATGCCTCAGCCTCCTGGGTTGCTGGGATTACAAGTGGGTGCCACAGCTCCCAGCCATCTGCTTTCCTTCTTAGATCAACTTCTTTTTTAATCCCCGCTTTTTTTTTTTTTTTTTGTAGTCTGGGGATTGAACCTAGAGGTGCTCTACCACTGAGCTATACTCCTTTTTACTTTATTTTGTGACAAAGTCTCACTAAGTTTCTGAGGCTGGCCTTTGTGCGCCCCCCTGCTTCAGCCTCCCAAGTAGCTGGGATTGCGAGTGTGTACCACTGTGCCTGGCCAATTCTTTTGCATACCATTTCTTTCTCTCTAAAATCAGAAAAAGAAAAAGATTTTGGTTTGGAAAATTAATGTTTCATACTACAGTGATTCGGCCACATCAATGTTTATAGCAACTCAATTCACAATAGCTAAATTGTGGAACCAACCAAGTGCCCTTCAACAGATGAATGGATAAAGAAAATATAGTATATACATACAATGGAATATTACTCAGCCTTAAAGAAGAATGAAGTTATGGCATTTTCTGGTAAATGGAGTGAGCTGGAGAATATCATGCTAAATAAAATAAGCCAATCTCAAAAAACCAAAGGAGAATGTTTTCTTATACGCAGATGCTAATTCATAATAAGGGGGTGGGGAAGGGGTGTTTAAGGAAGAATAGAAGTACTTTGGATTGGACAAAGGGGAATGAAGGGAAGGGAGAGGGGGTGGGAATAGGAGAGACAGTAGAGTGACTAGGACATTACTAACCTGGAGCATGAATGACTACATGACCAATGTGACTCTACACCAAGTACCACCAGAGAGTGAGAAGTTACATTGTTACACTCCGTATATGTACAATATGTTAAAATACATTCTACTGTCATGTATAACTAATTAGAACAAATTTAAAAAAGAAAAAAAAAACAATGCTTCGCTTGAGGAGCACCTGGCGGTGAAGAAGCAGCTGTGTGCGGACAGGGCCGTGGTGGACAGGCAGACCTGCAGCGTGTTAAAACCACACCATGGGGGCCTGGGGTCGTGGCTCAGTGGCAGAGTGCTCACCTACCATACACGAGGCACTGGGTTCGATCCTCAGCACCACATAAATGAAAAATAAAGATGTTGTGTCCATCTAAAAAAAACTTAAGAATAAATACTAAAAAGAAAAAAAAAACCACACCACGCAGAACACACACCTCACACACACACTCACACACCGCGGGGCTGCAGAGCTGGAGAAACCTGAGTGAGCTCGGGACTGCGTGGGCGTCACCTAGAGTCATCCTGCAGCCATGACAAAGGCAGGGTGCCACGGGGGCCCTCTAGGTGCATTTCCACAACTGATAGGAACCTATGTCTATTTCAAAAGAAAACATTTCAAAATAAGTAAGTGCTCCAGCCACCCAGGGGGTCCGCAGCCATCAGCAAGCTACGACTGACCCCAGCTCTGCGCGGCTGCTGACAGGGGCCCAAGTAACCCAACACGTGAGTGGAGACGAGAGGGTGGACACCAGGTCCCTCCTGGGGCCGCTGCCCACTCCCAGTGGCCAGCCGGGGCCACCGGCCCAGACTCCCAGCTAGATGGTGGGAGCCAGGCCTAGGCCGAGCGCCATGGACACCTACAGGCCACCAGCCCCTGCAGCCCCGGGCCCTGTGGTGGCCCCCGATGCTCCTCCTGAGGAGACAGGCGCCTGGGAGGCATAGCCACTCTCCCCTTCCCCTTCACTCCCAGGAAGTTCAGACCACAGAGACAGGGGGCTACGCACCACTCCCAGGTGCCTGGGTTGGGGGCAACAGCTCACGACCACTCTGCACCCCCCCCCCAGGCACACACAGTCACATTTTATTAGCACCTTTTCTAAGAGATGAGGACTTGGAAAAAACGACCCATAAACACAGTTGCGTTCCTTCACCAAAACAGAGACCAGCGCCCACTGGGTGCCTGTCTGAGGGGTGTGCTGGGGAGGCCATGGGTATCCACCTTCTCTGCCCCCAGCTCACATCCAGTAAGGGGGACCTCCTGCAGGGAGCCTGGTGGGTCAACCAGGCATTTCACACTTCTCTTATTTTAAAATCACTCTTAGCACAAACCAGAGAATAATGATTGTGTGGACTCCATCCTAGGAAGGGGCAAGTGCACCTGGCATGCCCGGGACATCCACAGGCTACAACACCCCCAGCCCACCCACAGGACAGCTACTAAGCTGGGCAGTGCTGGAGTGGGTGCCGGCCCGTCACTAGTCACCGCATTACCTCTGTGATCCCCCAGAGAGGAGACCCTGGCAGGGCTGATCCTTCACTGCCACCAGGCTGCCACAGCCTGTCCGCCCTCTGGATGGGAAGGCCTGGCGACTTCCATACGGGCCACTGGGTCCCTCAGGTCATCCTTTGAGCCTTTGGGGGATCTTGTGCTGCTCTAAACCAATCCCCAAGTTTTCACAAGCCAGGCTACGGCACAGCAGGGTTCACCCGCATGTCACCGCAGCCCTCTTCTCTGTGATCACAGTTTTCTGGGTGTGGGCAGTTCAAAGAGGGAGAGGCAGTTAGAAGGTAACATTTCAAACAGTCACATGACAATACAGGGTTCAAGGTTCTAAATTCCAAACCTCACTGGAAGCCAAGTTTTTGTTTTGTTTTGTTTTTAATTGTCTCTATTGAGGCCTGGAGCCCTGGGTTGGCACTGGTCCTCAGCTATTTCAAGCAGGGTGTGATTTTTTTTTAAGTGTCTTTGGTACATGCCCCATCTCTTCAGCTGGATGGCCAGGGAGGGCAGGAGCCAGGTGACTACCCTGATGCCCGAACCAGGAAGAGGGGGATAGGACCTACAGGAGCAATCAGATTTAGGTTCCTGTAAGTTCAGAGGGGAAAAAAAAAAAGCCCTCTAACAACCCCCAGTATACTTTCACAGATGAGAAAACGGAGCTGGAGCTTAATTAAGTACTAACCAGCTCAGCCCAGGTCACTTGCCCAGGTAATAAGCACTTGGTGATCAGATCTGTCCAGCCAGAGCGTGTTCTAAAGCAGGGCTCAGCAAACTTTCAAAGGACCAGATGGTGAATAGCTGAGGTTTGACAGGCCACATCAACCTCTCTCACATTAATCTCCTTTTTTTTTTCTTCCTAATCCTTTTGAAAAAATTCTCTGTTTAAAACCATACAGCACAAGCCTGGCCCACTGCTACTGTCTGCAACACCTGTCCCAGGATCCATGCTGCTGGGCCTCCTGAGAACAAGCAGGAAGCACAGGCCCTCCACATCCAACTGCACCCAACTCAACAGTTAAACAAGGCAAACAGCAAAGACGACAAGAAGGTAACTTAGCTCCAGGGTTATTCTAAGGTAAAACTCAGGTGCACAGGAAGACAACACACATGTTCTGTGGCACTGCTAATGATTGACAGGGCAACAGATGTGACCTACATGAGCAGCAAGAGGCAGCTGAGTATGCACAACACAACGACACGCTGCTGTGCTACACGGCCCTTACAGACACGTGGTAGCGAATCCTCCAAACCGAGAAATCAGATCTGAATAAATGGAGAGATACCACATTCATGGACTAGCAGGCTCAATACTGTTAAGATGGACGTGGAAACAAGAGTCCTAGAACAGCCAAAACACTTCTGCAAAAGAACAAAGTTGGGGACTCACACTGCCTGACAAGACTGTGTATCAGGACCATATGGCACTGGCTCAAACACAGACATGAGTGCTATGAGCAGAGCAGAGTCTAGAACCATGCCTGGCTTTAAACCTCCAAAAAGCTCCAGTAACTCCACCACAGGGTATATATCCAAAGAAATCAGCATGTCAAAGAGACACCTGCACCCGTGTCTACCGCAGCGCTGTTCACAGTAGCGAAGACACGGACCGGCCTGGGTGCCCACTGCACATGAACGGATAAGAAAGTGTGGCACTACACACTCTGGAATAACTCAGCCAGAAGAAAGAAAATGAGATCCTGTCATTTATGGCAATGCGGATGGAAGCAGAAGAGTTATGTTAAGTGAAATGAGTCAGCATAAAAACACAAGCGCTGGGGCTGAGGGCGT